AGGGGCGCGAGGGCCGTGCAGGTGGCCCCCCCACACGCACCGCTTCAAAGGTGGCGCACTGGGTCATGCCGCGCGTGGCACCCACAGCCACGAGCCCGCTGGCGTGGTGCCCGTCATTTGCACGGGGCAGCTCACTGGGGAGGGGGAGCTGAGGCGTGGTGGGGGGTAGCCGTGGCACCTTCTGCTTTTGCAGCTGCGTTTTGCCATGTGTGCTTCCAGATAGCTGGATGTGCCCTCGAGTCAGCTGCTGCCGTCTCCTCAGTGGTCTTCCTCTGATTCTCCTGCTCTGTCGCCCTGGGACACCCGATCAACACCCCCTTGAGCCCCTGCTCTGCAGAGGAGGGGGAAATCGTGTTTTAATTTCCTTTCCATGAAACATCCTCCTGTCCCAGAATTAATTAATGAGCTGCCGTGTTTAAACCAGTGCATCCACCCTTTCGGCTCTAGTCACAGTGAGACAACTGGGAGGACCGTGGCCAAGAGCGGCCAGGTGGGTTCCCCCAAAAGTCCTCCGTTCTTTTTTCTGTGATTCCGGGTTTTAGAAATACTAAGCCTCGCTCGGAGCCACAGGTGGCGAACAGAAACTGAGGAAGCCTCTTGCAAATTAGGAAATCCCCTCCGAGGAGGATGGGGAGGGGAAGCAGTGACTTCCTGGGGAGGCCGTCGTCCCTGCTGAGGCTCGAGAGATCCCGGAGAGGTTTGAGAGAGTCCCTCTCGCTGCATCCTCTTCAAAGGTGCGACCAGCTGCAGTCGGCATCATGGGGCCCACCCCCTTTTTGAACCATGCGTGCCACATGGGTCCACTGATCCGTGGAGAACAGTGATCTGAACCGTGGCTAGCAGTGATTCCTGGGCAGTGCAGGGTCTCCCATCCCCTGCTACCTGGTCCTTTGACCTGGAGATGCTCGAATGCAAACCTTGAAATTTTTGTATGCAAATGTATGCAGATGTTCTGCCCACAGAAATAGAGGCCTTCCTTGGCCCACCTTTTTTCTCTTTGGGCTGCTAACTCAATGGGCTTGAACTCTGGGCAGCTGCACACAGAAGAAAAAAGATCCATTGATGGACTTCACCCTTCCCACCCTGGGGCCTCCCGGTGCTCCTCCTGGGGGCTGTGGGAGTAGCCCAGTATGTCCGAGGGGCACTGAGTGGTGTGGGGAAACCTGATCCAAGGACAGACCCCCTGGAAATCCTTGGTAGCTACGTGGACCCTCCATGGAAACGCACAAGTGCTTCCCTTTATGCTCACTAGTCCAGAGACGAATTTGTTTTTCCCTGCAACTGTCTTGACAAACCTTTGAGGAAAACACACCTCTGGAGATAATGGCCCCTTCCCGAAGCCGTTGCATTGTTCTGCCCAGGGAGCTTTGGCCGCCCAGGGTCTCTCCTGCCAGGGGCAGCTCTTCCAGCTGGCACCTCGGCTGCTCCGGCACTTGGGTTCCCACCCCTCCTCCTGCGCTGGAAGCACAGCTTCAAGGAACGTTGGGGGGCACGGGGGTCGCGTCTGCTGCACACGTGCACCCCCTTTGCACACCCCCTGCTGCACCACCGCCTCGGTCGCCATGCATCAGTTGTGCTCTGTAAAGTGAGGGTGCACACCAGCCCCCCACGCAGCCCTCTGGCGTTCCCAGGTGGCCGCACCCTCCCTCAGCCTCCAGCCACCCTTGGGCGTTTTCCGGCTTGCCTGCAGGCTTGCTTCCTTTTGAGAAGGCCAGGCATAGGCACATGCAGGGCAGAATGTGCCCGCTTCTTGGCATCTCATCCCCTCCGCTTTCGCATCGCACTCCTCTCACCTCTGGATGCGGCCCGAGAGCGTCCCTGGAATGCAGCGCAGGTCAGAAGAGGTTCTGCACAGGTGAAGCCGTGGCCCGTCCCCCCTTTTCCCCTGCCTGGCATGAGTTATGAGTATGGCCAGCCCCGGTGTTTGACTGACGGGAAGACGCCAGCCTTCTCGCACCTTCGGAGCCATTTTTCCTGCTCCCCACCTTCTTCCCACGTCTCAAAATGTTCAACAACATGGCACCAAGCACCGCGCGCCGTCAGTGTTGATCAAAGGGCGTCCCTGTTTGTGGTTTTGTTCTTATTGGAAATCTTCTTGCCTCATAATTTCTACCATCATAATATTTTATATCCTTGTATTGTTTGTTGTAAAGTGCTTTGGGAGTCTATCAATAGGAAGTGATATATAGCCGTTTTGAACAGCAAGATCGGGTGAACGTCCATAAACACAGGAATGGCTGTGGCGGGATGGGCCTGGCCAACGCGAGGCAGAGGCCTTTGCGCGATTGCCTTTGAAAGCACAAGATGCACGGAGCGTTGCTTTAAAAGAGGGTGAAAAATTCCACCGATGATTTATGAGGCGACTTGGCCGTGAGTGCCGAAGGAATCCTGTTGAGCAGCCATATTGTTCCAGATCTCACAGTGCCGTCGTCAGGTCAATATTTTCCTTCGCAATCAGTGGGTTCTGAGCTCTTACTCACAGGACCTCTCTCGTGTTTTCATGGCACGAGGAGCCTCCCTGGGGCTCGCCCTGCTGCGCTCCGAGCCCCAGGCTGGGCGTGGGGGGGGGGCACATGCTGCGTGCCCCTGCGCCCGCCGTCGGGCTCTGAAGGCCGAATCCAGATCGGCTTGCAAAGGCGGCCTGGAAGCACAAGCTGGCTCAGCGTGCTTCTGCGGGCAGGTGGCACTCCTGGTCTCGGGTCTTGTATTCTGGGGCAGGCTTTTGTCCCTTCCTCCCCCTGCAGAAGCTTGTGCGGCGGGGGGGGGGGGCCACAGCAGTGGCGTGTCAGGGCTAGGCAGGAATGACCTTTGTCCTCGGCTGCCCCCCATTCCGCGTCCAGCACGGCCCCCTCGCCTCCGGAGCCATTTGGGAACGATGGAGGTGTGCCCCTTTGGGGGTGCAGCAGCCTCCCCGATGTGTCGGACTGCAACTCCCATCATCCCTAGCCAGGCTAGAAGGGTGTTTACATGCAGAAAGCCGGCGTGCGAATGCTGCACCATCAGGAGGCCAGTGTGCCCCGGGCAAGTCCCATGCCTCGCAGCTGCTCGCCCGCTTGGGCCCGCGTGCGCAGGAGAGTTAAAGCGCATGTCAGAGCTCAGCTATGCAGCGCGCTTGGCGCATCCTACGTGCACGCGTGTCCCTGCACGGCTTGTGTGCTCTAAGCGCTGTGGTTGCACTTGCTGAATGGCTAAAACCTCAAGTAGCACCGCAGAATTATGGTTTGAACTGTAAACTTCACCTCGGCTCCCATGAACACACACAAATCCCAAGTAATTGTGATAGTGGCGATTACCTCTGCTGTGATCTGAGTAAGCCGGGCTTCACGCTGTTGCGGTTAAGGGCTTACGAATGTTTTGTGTTTGTGATGAGGCCGGTGTGTGTGTGTGTGTGTGTACACCAAATAAGCCTCTGCCCACCAGCTGGTGTTTAACACATGAGCAACCGCGCTCTCGCCCTCCAGGCACAAATGTTTCAGAAGCGGCACCCTTCCCTTGCCTTTCGGAGAAGCCACAGTCCTTGCAGGAGACGAGAGCCGACTGCAGGCGCTTGATCCTGAGCCTGGTGGCCGCAAATCAGTCCAAGAAGGGGCTGCTCTGTGCCAGATTAAGCTCCCACGGCGAGAGATTACCATGTGCCATGCGAAGGCGCAAACACGGGTGCGCCGGGTCTGGCGCGCCTGCAGGAGCCGCGCACGAAGGGAAGTGGCCTGTTGGACAGCCGCTCCCATCATCTTCCAGCTGGTGGGTGATTGGAGTTGGTCAGCAGAGCACGAGGCCTCAGGCCGGAGTGGCCGAAGGGAGGTGGCGGGCGTTGCTCCCTCTGAGGGCCTCGGGGCTGGTGGTCCCTCCCCAAACCGTCACCCACCCTGGGAATGCCGCCAGTTCCCCAGAACGGGTCATCCCAGCCTGGAATGCCGCAGTCTTGATTTCCAGAGGAGCAAGTCAGGGTCCGGGGTGGGAAAAGCCACCCCACATACGCACTGGAAGCGCAGGAGAAGGGGAGGCGCCCAGGCGTTCTCCTTGGCTTTGCATTCCACGAATTTGTCCTTTGGACTCTGCCACGGGAAGGGGCACAGGGCCCTTCCTTCCTTATTGCATGATAGTATCAAAAATAAGTCTGATGCGAGCGATTTCGAAAAGTGCGACGGAATAGATATTAACAGGCTCGAATATTTATTTATTTGGGATTCTTATATGCAGTGTGTGTGTGTTTTTCATGCCTGCGAGTCACAAAATGGTACCTGCCCTTTCTCAGAAAGTAATTGGATAGATTGCTAAACATTGTTAAGCTTAATACGCCACATTGCAAGTAACATTTCCCTTGTATGTGTACAATAGCCATTATTTGAGGACAAGGCACGAACGTCATTTATATTGTCCGTTTGTCCTGATGCCCAGGTTGAGTATCGCAACCTGGGAAGGGAAGGAAAGGAGGAGTTTGTCCTGGCGGCTACTAATAGATCGTCCCCAGTAGAAGAGGTTTGATCATCATGTCCCGCCAGGGCAATTAATTTGTCCTTAGCGCAGTTTTTACGGGGATGAGAGCTTCTAGCCAGCCAGATGATTTTCGCCTTCCCTGCAGAGTGGCTAGATAAATACCTCTAAGCTGGGAGTGCTTTATTTTCAACCTGCATCTTGTGCATAAATTCATTGTATGACAGGAAATAATTTCCAAGAAGGCACAGAAGAGATTACCCGCCTTTCCTGGAAATATCTGTTGACAGAGGGATATGCTTAGCAGGTGTGGAAATTTGGTGGCACCTGCCTAATTTGTGATGGCCGGCAGCTTCGCGCAGGGAGCTTTTCTGGGAGTTGATGGGCCAGACATCCAAAATCTTGATACTACCGGGAACAGAGTTTCCTGATGAGCACAGCAGTTGGAGGATATGGAGGCAGATTGGAGGATGTGCATAAGAATCCTGGTCCTGAGTTGTTTACGGCTTTGTCAGCGAGGACTAAAGCCTTAAGCCGAGCCCAGCGGCATATCAGGTCGCAGCACAGCTCCCTCGGCCTACATGAAGCAGGCCGGTGATAAGACGCTCCCCTCACCAGCCTGGCCGAGGCACTCTGCAGCTTCTGGGCTGATCCTCGGGGCAGCTCCATGCAGAGCACGCGGTAGGTAGCACCTAGTCCCGGCTTGCGCTCGCAGGCACGGCTGTGAGAGGGAGTCAGGAAAACTTTCCGAAGCTTGGAATGGGAGCTGACAGAATTTCCGTTTGGAAACGGCCCCATCTGCCCGCTCGCTAGAAAACACTCCCAAAGACGGCTCATAAAAGTTTGCCACATTGGGTACCTGAGCAAATTTAGGCTTAGGACGTCTGTGGAAAGCAGGTAACGCCACCGAGATCGACTGGAAGTGGGTCACGCGCCTCGCAGGAGTGGGAGTGGGGAGGGCGAGGCCGTCTAGACAAATGTTCCCCAGCTGCTGAGCAGCCTTCTCGAGCCTGAATTTCCATCCAGGGCTCCCAGACAAGCTGCGCTGCGCTGCCCAGCAAGCCGTCGCATTGGGATGGCCGTGCCGGAGGCACCCTTCAGGCGCTCCCGGCCTGCACGGTCCCGCCTCGCGCGGGCGGGCTCCTCGGCGAGCGGCCTCTCGCTTTGCGGCTGGCCCGGAGCCCCAGCGTCAGGCCCGGACAGCCGGGGCCACACTGTTTAGCGGCGACTGCGGCCCTCGCGTTCCTGCCCCGCACTGCCGATCGATGGAGCGGGATCTCGTGCAAAGCACAGGTTGCTCCGCAGGACCCAGCAGTTTTGTTCCTGCCGCAGGTGGTGTTTCCCTTCCCGGCGGCATCCAGACTGGGGGGAGCTGATCGCTCGTTGCCCCGTCCCCTTAGCTCAGGCACCGCTTCCCAGGTGTTTGGCCCCGCGGCTGAGCGTGAAAGGTCGCGTCTGGCGGGGGCCGGACTCGTGCGGTGCGTGCGGGACCGCCGTTGTCCCGGTGGCATCGGGCTGACACCCTGACAGGCCTTTCGAGCGCGTTATCTGACCCTCCCGGGGAGGAGGATCATCGTCACCACCGTCTCCATCGTCGCCATCCTCTCCATTGTGCCCCTTTTTCTATAAAAGCCGCTAAGGCAGTGCTCAACAGTTGAAAACACCTCTGTCTCGTCTGTGCTCAGCCTCCGTTTATTCTCCCTCTTGCGGCTCATTCCTGAATCTCGGCAACATTCAAGGCTCTTCCCGCGAGGTGACAGAGGGCACTCAAATGGGTTCTTGCAGCAGGTACCCATAATTCTGGTCACTCTCGGAGCAGCACGGACAGGCGGCCAAACAGGAGCCCCCAGACGCGAGTGCTTTTGACTTTCGTGCATGCCTGCTGGTGCTTGTAGAACAAGAGGTGGAACCAGGTTTGGGGGCGAAACGGCTGTGGGAGGGTGGGTGGGTGGGTGTGTGGGGCCTGACCCAGCCTTCATTCCTGGCTAATGTGGCGGCTGGAGCTGAGAGGCAGCTCATGCTCATGCGTTTGGTTCTCTCTTTCTCTCTCCTTCTCAGTGTGTAACAGCATCGACATCCGCAACAACCTGACCCTTTTTAGCTTGCTGGAGAACTGCACCGTGATTGAGGGACATTTGCAGATCTTGCTGCTGTTCAAAACCAAGACTGAGGACTTCCAGGACCTCAGCTTCCCCATGCTGACCATGATCACAGACTACCTGCTGATGTTCCGGGTCTACGGCCTGGAGAGCCTCAAGAAGCTCTTCCCCAACCTCACCGTCATCCGCGGGTCCCGCCTCTTCTTCAACTACGCCCTGGTCATCTTCGAGATGGTCCACCTGAAGGAGATCGGCCTCTACAACCTGATGAACATCACCCGCGGGGCCGTGCGCATCGAGAAGAACGATGAGCTCTGCTACCTGTCCACGATCGACTGGTCCCGCATCTTGGACGCCGTGGAGGACAACTACATCGTGGCCAACAAGGACGACAAGGAGGAGTGCGGAGACGTGTGCCCGGGCATCGTGCTGGGCAAGGGCAGCTGCCCGCCCACCGTGATCAACGGGATCTTCATTGAGCGCTGCTGGACGTACGAGCACTGCCAGAGAGGTAGGCCGGGGGAGGGCTGGGGCCGCTGGCGCCGGCGCTGGCGCAGGCGAGGCGAGGCGTCCCTTCCCCGTCCCCAGAGGCCCGCTCCCCATGCCACCCCTGGCCTCGCCACCGTGGTGCGGACCGCTGGCCGGCTGATTCAGTCGCCTGGCCCAGCTTCCAGGTGGCGGTCCCCCTTCCAAAAGGCGGGCCCGCTCCCCCACAGCCCAGTTTCTGCTCGGAGAGCGCTCTGCCGAGCTGCGCTGGCCCTTTGCCCTGACCTCGCCTGCCCAGGGCGCTGCTTCAGCAGCCTCCCTGGCTCCCGGCCTGGCGCATCCTGCTGAAAAGCTTGTTCTGTGGCCTAGTTAACCAGGCAGCATAACAGGCTGCTCCTGAACGGTTCTGGTGAGATAGCTGGACTGAAGAAAGGGGTTTTCAGCCGGAGCACGTGGGAAACTGGGTTTGTGCCTGCTCCGCCATACAGAGTGCTCGCTTCCACTTCCAGAATGAATAATTTGGTCACTGGTTCCAGTTAGTGGTTCATAGCATGACAGCCCGACAATGGGCCACGGCTGCCTTTGGAAGCCAGAGGGGCCGCCTCTCCCAGCACTGCCGTTTCCGCCAGTACAAGTGCCGATTTGGATTTTCTGATCCATTACCTCTGAGTCCGGCGCATTTGGGAAGCACCGTTAATGTGCTGGACCCAGGGGTGGGGCAGAGGACCGCTACTTCCACGCCCGGCGCTTGCGGCCAGGAGTGCTGCCGAGGGGAGTCGTCGCTGCCGGAAGAAAGCGAGGCTGAGCGGAGGGACCGGGGCGTGGCTCGGTGGCACAGCTGACTCCGATCCGCTGCCCTCCAGCTGTGATGAGGCTGCCCCAGTGCGACACATCTGGAGAGTGCCGGATTGCGGAAAGCACGGCTCCTTGTCTTCCGTTCCATTTCCCCGCCTGAGTCTTCTGGGGGCAAGGCTGGTGCCTTGCGGTGGGGCGGTCCTCTGCGTGCGGGTGGCCCCCGGCTCAGCCCCGCCGTCCTCTGCCGGGGGTAGGCGATGGGAAGGCCTCTGCCAGAGGACCCGAGGCCGAGGGGCAAAGAGCCGCGGTGAGTCACTCGGAGGGGCTGGGCTAGATGAACAAACACTCCGTCTGATACCGAGCCAACTTCCCGTGTTCCTAAGCACCAGGGGAGAGCCCAGCTGGCACTCCCGGCCCACAGGCTGTTGCCCCGTGGCTCCTCCCCTGCTCGCGAGGTGGGCGGCGCACCTGGGCGCTCTGGGTGTGGACCCCGCCTCTCCCGAATGGCACCCTAGCCGGGAGCCGGAGGGCTGTCGGGGTGCGTGACTATCGCAGACAAACCCAGTGCCGGTGGCTGTGTGCGCATGTCCGTTCTTCAGCCCAAGCCCGGGCGGTGCATCACAGTGCATGGGTTGTGCTTGTGTGTGCACACAGTTTATCGCAAAGGCGTTATCACGCAGGCCATTTGAAATCCCTTGTCAGTGTTTTGGGCTGGCTGGAAGAGAGAAAACAAAGGCTCTGGTTTTGATTGCTTGCTAAACTCATTCTCGAGTTTACTTCACAGCCAAGGTGCCCTGTCACGTCCCTCCTTTCCACTGGTTTTACAAGACCAAACATTGAGGGAGGCAGCTCTTAGAGTCAACACACCTCTTGGAAAACTAGCCTGACAAACCCTCTCTACCTTTGCCGACTCTCTCCAGGTACGCTCGCCTGCCAGTTTCCAAAGGTGTTTAGTGTACATATACCTCCTCAGGGGAAGTATATTACACATGATAGGATGGAGGTGTGACAGAGCCCAGTGGCAGAGCCCCGCTAGGTGAGAGCCCCGGCAGCCTCTCCAGGTGCGGCCGTGACAACTCCTGCCTAAAACCCGAAGGAGATTTGCCTGCCAAGCCATTCCTGCAGTTCAGTCTGACTCTGCAAAGCAGCTTCCCTCTGTGAAAGCACATGCTATTTTTTATTACTCTGCTTTTAAATCACGGCTTTCCTGCGAGAAACCCCAAGTACCTCTCACGACTCTCCTCCTCGCAACAGCAACCCTGTGAGGTAGGCCAGGCGGAGTGAGAGGCCGTGACTGGCCAGGGCGGGCTCTGAGCTGCACAGCCCCTCTTTGGTGCCCACGTCTTTCTGCTCGGACACCCATTTTTCAGAAGGCAGCCTCTGCGCCTTCTCAGGACAAAGGGGAGCCGGCCGGGCTCTGCAGGCATCACGCTGGAGATGCGCAAGTCACGACCTGAGGCAGACGCTTTTCGGTTTGCTTCAGGATTTACTGAGCTTGTGCCTTCCAGATCAAACACAGACTTGAGGCAGGATTATTTTCTGACATCCCCCCTCCCCCCCATGCATTTGGTTGCATGGGTACATTTGAAAAATGCTCCATTTGAAAACGTGAAAATGTGCCATTTGAAACTGCTGACAAATATGCTTTTATCAATGTGGGAAGAATGTGTACCTTGCAAAGGTGTGTCCTCTAGAGGCGAGCACTCCAAAAAATGCGCACAAACAGAGGCACGGATTTCCAGATGAGAAGGAAAAGTCAAAGCTGGGGATGGAAACCAGAGAGGGTGAGTTTTGCTGATCCACACACCCCTGCGTGGAAGGGGCTTGGCAGGCAGAGTTCTAGGCGTGGGCACGACCCCTTTGCAGAAGGTATCTTTCTCCTTCCTCGGCTTCTCAGAAGTCCTGACAGTGTTGCAGGTGGGTGCCCAGCCAGGTGCCTCCAGCCAGGTGCCGTGAAGCCCTGTGGGCAGGGGGCCACCCCCTGCTGAAGCCGGTCCCTTCGCTGTCCAGCCCAACAGACAAAAGAGACAAATTGCTGCCCTGCCTTTACCTTTGGCAAAAAAACCCCCCCCCCCCCCGCTTTGTTGCCTCGCAACAGTATTTTTGTATTGCTTTCCCCCAGTCCAGCCCCAAACCTTCACTGGAAGAAGCCGTTTCTGCTCCCAGAATTTAGAATGGCCGCCCGGTTTGCCAGCCTCAGGTGCTCCTGTTCCGAAGCTGTTTCTCTGTGAGGCCTTTCTCAGCTGTTGGCCTGCAGTGCCGGCCACACGCTGGATTCACAGCTGAGGGAGGGAGAGGCTGGGAAGACGGGGCGAGTGGGAAGCGCTGGACTTCTGCAGAAAGTTGAACTCCGGAGGCTGCTCCCCTTGGCATTTTGGGGCTCCCTGGATGGGGTCTGCACACAGCCCTGGCCCATGGCTCCTTCAGCCTTGGGCTGCCTCTGCAGACTTTGTGCTCCCTCTTCTCTGTCCCCACGTCGGTCGTTTCCCTTCCTCTGCCCCCGCTGCCTCGGTGGCACAGGAGAACTTGCAGAGGCGGCCGCCCCTTTTTCACGGCTCTTGCTTCCCACTTCCGTAACCCACCAGAACAACCCACGAACAACCCCTGACTCTGGGTTCTTGCACATCACGACAATCCAGGCTTCACAGCAAAGCAGCAAAGTGGGTTGAGCTCTCTGGATTGTCCATGGTTAGTGATGCTGTGTTTGCAGCTGTGTTTGCACATCACAGCAAGCCAGAATTTGAGATTCTGTACTGCGGGTTATCAGGCCTTCTCCGATCCGGGCAAGAGCCCCTTGCCTGACGGCACTATAAAAGTTCCTTGCATTTCTACCAAGCCTTGCCTTGACGAAAGTGGCAAAGTTCAGGGGGTGTGTGTGTGGGAAACTCTGTCCCATGAAGTTTACTTAGGTAGAAATACTGCTTAGCAACCGTTTCCTGTGACTTGTTCATTTTTAAATGTCCTGGGAATTTCTGCAGTCATGAGCCGTTCCTTCACTGCATGCTGCTTTCCTCTCCCACTTCCCCCTTACCAGATGGGAAACTGATCCTAAAGTTAGCTCGGAATTAACTCGGCCCAGCCGCAAGGGTGTGATATTTCTCAGTGCGTTTGAAATAGACACAAAGAACGACTTCCCGCTGCTGCTGCGAGAGGAAGAGAAAGCGTGTTTTATTTGTATGTTGAGCTTATGAATGGCAGATGAAAGGGCAGCACCTGAGAATCGCACCCATCATTCATTTCTCAGACTAGCCAGGGATGAGCCTGGTCCCGGGCCGGCTGCCCGGGCTGCCCGGTACTTTGCCTGGAAGGGTTGGAAGGAACAAGCCGTGCTCACTGGAAGCGGCAGTGCTGGGTGGGGAGAGGCGGGAGGGGTAGACCCCCTTCTCTCTCAGCGTGCATGGATGGGCACCTGAAGTTAGTTTTAATGAGGCTTCCTTAGCATTTGAAGTCAGAAGCACTCGACAAAGGATTGGTGTTCTGGAGATTAGCACCTGTTAAATGTGAAGCGTAAATCCTTCCCTACACCAAGGACAGTTGCTTTGGGAGGCTGCCTGATGCCTGAATTATGTGATGTTCCAGATATTTTGACCAGAACTCCCATCAGGGTCATCATGGCTGATGGTGAGAGATGATGCAAGTTGGAGATCAAAACTGAGAGGCCATAAGCTTAGAACACTTATCTGATTAGTACTCCGTAAAAAGCAGAACAAAAAAGGTACTCCAGCTTGTTTTTCTCGTCGAAATATACCATGAGTATTTTGACCTGCATGCTGAGGAGGGATCAAGCACACTTAAAGTCCATTAACTGATCTGCTTTTCGGTGGGATTCTGAATTACCTGGAAAAGGCTTATTGCAAAATGGAGAATGTGCAGTGCACTTAATATTGTATTAGTGTTCAGCCTTGCTTCTCACTAACGAGCTTATGCAATGGAAAATTTTCCACAGCACAAGAGAGCACTGGAAACCTTTCTGTAGATCTTCCAATGCACATCACTTCCAGACCCCAGGGGCAATTAGGACCATGGGATGGAGCACTCCTTCCTTGGCTGCTTGGAGGAGGGGGACGGGGACCCCTGACTTCTGGACTGTCCTCAGTCTGCCTTGCAAAAACCACAGAAGTGGAAGCGGGGAGGCTGGGATCCCCTCCAGCAGAACCCTCCGCTCTTCTGCTGCCTCCAGGGAAGCCTTTTGCTTCGGCCGCTTTCTTCTGGGGCCGCCCAAGCACGGTG